GACTATCATTTTGACAAAAAAAAGACACGAGTTTTCATGGAAATTATTCACCTCTTGAGTTCATTTTAAAAAAGTGGCATGTTTCACTTTGAGCTAAGAAATAGCTCAAGGTCAAGGAGGTCAATCGCAGATGGTACAACTGGCCAAGGTTGTAGAGAGGTAAGAAGGCATCTGAAGTAGAAAAATCCCTCTTGTAAATAAATCATTTCAGCACACCCTACAGTGTCAAGCATACTGTCTTTTTAACCTTTATCATTATAAAAATTACTTTCAATTACTATAAATGAAAGCTTGCAAACCCAATGGTTCAATTCAGTAAATTCAAGCAAAGATGTAGTTGACATCTTTGTTTGTTTGTCACTTGGAAAAAATTAGTTCACAGGCTACACAATTCATTGTGAAGGTCACATTGATAACTGCTTGTGCACAATTGGCTGCCGCATTTCTCCCACAAAATATACAGTCAATTCACTTACAGTATATTCTTTGAAGTGCTTTGAGACATCTCAAAGATGTGATAAAGCGCTATATCAAATGCAAGGATTATTATTATTATACTTAACCCCAGATAACAATGAGTGTGAATTGTTTCTGACTGCTAGGTAAATTTATGAATTTAAAAATCTGAAAGAAACACTGCACAATTGATCACACTCATGAGGTCAAATTCTGGTTGGTGTTGTGTGTAACATTATAATGGGGGAAATCCCATTAGCGGCCCACAAGCAAATGTAAAGCTGACTGAATTTTCAGAGAATTAAAAAGAATTATGAAGAATTATAAATTCATGGTGTGATCATTTTACACTATTACATATTGCCGCAAATATAACAGGGGCTCCATTATGACACATTTTATGAGCTGGGGGGAGCATAATTTGACACTCACCAAAAGATCCAGCCCAGGAAATATCTATTAAAAGAATAATAAAACTTATCACTTTCTCTAACGGCCCCCCAAAAAATTAAAATATCTCTTGTTTGATGCTTGAAGTGTCTAAAAAACCCAGCAACTGATCAAGGTTGAAATCAAAGCACTCAGAGGGCAGATGGAGTGGGCGATCCAACAACAACAGTTTACATTTACATAGTACCCTTCACGCTGGGGAATGTCTCAGCGCACTTAAACATTGTGTAGTTTGACATTGAGGCGGGGAGAAAGGGAAATGACAGTAGGCATGATTTAAGTATATTACAGCAGGTTTAGTTTAAAGTCAGAAATGTTAATTCACACTAAACACTATTAACTGCAGCAACAATTAACACCACTGCCAGTGTAAACTGATTGAACTCCTCAAATGTTACCCGAATAGTTCCCAATGCCTGATAAGTATAGATGTATCTTCAGTAATGTATTGTATTGTAGATTTCTGGCAGTTATTGATATTTCACTTCATTTTAAGAACGAATTTAGATAACAATATAGAAACTGGCAGAATACATCCGGGACTAGGGCAGCAACATGCCTTACAGGCTTGATACTATCTGCCTCACCCTCCCAACACACACACTCCAACATGGAAGTTGTCCCCTTTTCATTGAGTTTTCATGGATTTGCCACTGTTCAGCATTTATTTGCTTACATACACGGTAGACAGTCACCACACTTCACAGTAAATTTTGTGAAGCACTTTGAGACATGCTGACATCCTCCTGACATGGAAGACAATATACAAATTGCAAACATTACTATTAATATATATAATGTTCTATTTAAAGTGTGAATAAAATGAGTTGAAAGTCGTAAAATGATTATAATTTTAAAATTGTATTTTGAGTAATATATAAAAGTACATTGACAAATTCACAAAGCTTATAGTGGGGAATAGCATTTAGGAGCGACTGCTAAATGTTTTAAACAAAAACCCTTCAGCGAAACATACTGGATGGGGGGGGTGGGTCAAATGTGACAAGCGCATTATTTGTTTATACCTTTCCTATCACTCAAGCCCAGTGGAACAACTTCCATTGCAGAGAGCAACAATTATAGAAATGTCAGTAAGTCAGAGGCTAGTAGCGAGGGTGGGGGACATTGGTTTAGTTGTAAACAGGTTGTTTGTATTTATAGACAGTTAGTTTTATGTACAGCTGAAAACAAAGGCACTAACTGAAGAATGCTAGATTTGAAAGAAAAGTCATAGAAAACACTAGCATTGCTGCAGGTTGGAGCAAGAATACTCTGAAAGGACTGAGGGACTATCTAGGGAAAGAGACTTCAATGACAGTTCACATGGACATTTTTGGTGACAGAGCTGTTGCTGTGTATGTGAAGCCACCCCCCCCAGTAAGAAGTGAACCTCTCCAATCACATTTATAAATCAGTTTGTGAGCTCACAAACCCCTCCTCAAAAAGTTCCTCTTTTCTCCACCCACTCGGTTTGTTCCAATAAACTTTGTGTCATACAGGGAAAAACTGCAGTCCACTCCCTGATCGCAACTATCCAGCAGCTTACATCCCCAACTCATCGATCGTGAACAGAGGTAAGAGACTGCATAACTCTTTCTAACATCAGCGATTTGGAAACAAACGAGCATGTTCCAAGAAAGTTCTGAACTTTATTTTTTAAAAAGACTTTTGTTTGAACTTTGCTCTTGAAATCGAAAAAGGTGCTGGTTGCTCCTTCTTCATAAATGAGAATACAAGTTGCACATTGAGAGTAGGGTTGGTATTCCAAAAGAAAACCAGCCCCTTTGAATACAGTTCAATGTACACACATTGCAATGTGCAACTCGGAGTGACCAGAAAGCACTGCAGATTTGAACTTAAAGGAGCACTGCCTTCATCACCAGCGAGAGGGAAAAGATGCAATAATTACGTCACATCAAAAATAATGCAATGGCACTTTGTTTTGCCCACAAAATAAACAGTCAATTTAGTATATTCTGTGAAGCCCTTTGACATGACTCGAAGATGTGATAAGACGCTATACCAAATGCAGGGATGATTATTATTATTATTATGCCTTGAATTGCAATTACCCATTCAATCACTTTCCTACAATCAATTTCTTTTAAATGCTTTGAAATGATTGCCCTGGTCATTTGGGATGTATTGTACACCACCAAACTGTAAAACAGGGATCTTTTAATCTTTTGCTCTGACTATGAATCTCTTTCTATTCAAAAGGCATTTTTAAGCAAAGGTCTCACTGTGTTTCCTGAATAGAAATGAATAACGAAAAGTAATATGACAGTCAGACGATCACATGCCAGACCCAAGTTCAGAATTCCTCATGCTTTATGTTATTCATACTTCCTTAACATTAAGAAAGGATTAACTACAGGGCATAATTTTTTTTAAATAGCCTGACCCTTTGCAGTAATCAGCTTGTCTTTCTTCCAAGACAAATTATTTGAAAGAAGGGTTAGAAAATTGTAAACCAAGGGTTAAAGCAGCAATTTGTTCTGGGTTACAGTCCAAATATGTCATTCCTGGATTGATAAATATGTTGCTGACCTACTTTTTCACAGAGCTGTTATAGGAAATCTTCTGCATGTTCTCATATACATGTATATATACATATATATACATATACAAGTAACTAATACACTCAAAAGCATGATATAAATGAGACGTTGCAGGGCAGTTCTTGAAGATTCTACATGCTGTGCTTGGCTGTTTTTACCATGCTTGCAATGCTATTCTATTGGATCTGGTATATTCTCTGCATGGTATTTGCAGTCCTTCTGCATTGTGAATTGGGGTTTGCGTCATTAGCATAGTATTTGCTTTATATCCCTTTTTACACTACAAATGTGACATCAAGTCTTGTAGCAAAGTGAAAGTGAGTGGAGTTACACTGACCACTCGTACCACTTTGTTTTGGAATTGATTTTCCAATTCCTGTGCACGCAATATTGACTTTCTGCCTCAATTGTGCTCAAACACATCCACACAGTATTGTCAAACATACTTTTCAAAAGCTTTGTGACGTTGTGATGCCATGGTCCCAGCTATGATGGGGAAGGGGAAGCAGAACTACATTCATCTGAGACCACCTCCTGAAGGTGCTTTGGTCGGCTGAACTGATACTTCTATCTCATTTCAAAACGCATGTTAGAAACTGCTTTTATAAATCATTTTTAGTATCAATTTGACATGAAAAGCCTGTAGAATTGACACTGAAAGTGTAACATGAAAGAGACACAAGTGCCTGTGTAAGTGTGTATGTTGTGAATCTCATATCTATATGCTGGAATTTATGTGAATAGAATATGTTTTTAACTGTAAAATTATATGACTTGATGGGGACTGTGTTATCAGGTGGTGGCCATTTTCTCACAGGATATCTGGATACAAATGCTTGTGTCTATTGAAATTTTCACTCAGTCTTCCCCAGACAGCAAGCAGCCAGTCTTAACCAGACTTGGACTATGGAGTAAAAGACAACAGAAAGCAAGGAAAAATTTGAGGCCAGAGTTCACGCCACTGTGCTATAGTACCTTCCAGTAGCAAAACCAAGTGACCTGACAACTTGACAGTGCCCGTGAGTTAAGCAGAAAATGAAACACCACCAGAAGTCAATTGGGAGTCCCTGTTTAGTCAAAGGGAGAAAAGAAAAAATCAGAGATTTCCTAACCGCATTAGCTCTTAGTAACTAAATGAAGAGAGGCATCAATACCTTTGCCTGTAATATCAAAGCCAGGTGCCAAGAACTGAGAATAAGATCTTATCCAAATCTAGCAATGGAAAGAATGGCTTTAAAGAATCAGGATTATACAATCAGGAGGCGCACTTAAAAAAAAAGGGGGCCATTCTTATATTAAAGAACCTGCTTTGCGTCATTTTAGAACTAACCAGGCACCATCACGTTTACATGAATTAAAGTAGCAAAGAAACAATTGTGGAAACTACCGTACCTCTAATATGTGAAATAAATTGTATCTGTCTAAAAGATGCTTTTTGGAGGGAGAAAAACACCTCTGTAATCTAAAGGATTTCAAGTTTAATTGAATTCTCAAATTATTCAATGCACTTCTCTTCTTCACAACAGGTTCTAATATATGGCAATAATTAAACCGAAATTCTGAATTATGGAAACCAAAAGCATATCACAGTTGCAGGAACTCGGCCCCAATGCGATCCACGTTCGGAGGAGAGTTCCTGCGGGATGGTCTGATGTACATCCGGCTAGCGTAGTGAGTTGTTCCCACTTGAATTGGTGTCAGTGGTTATTTGATCTGCATCTCCACCCTTTGACTCCTCGCTTGTTTTTAAACCATGGGATGTTTGCTGTGGGATCAGATTGAATTGAAAATCATGCCAGTAAAAGCAGTGTTCTGCTTATCCATTTTAATGTCTTTACAGAGAATCCTCACAAAGCCCTGCCATCCCTTATCACATCCGTTGGAGCCATTCTATAGTCTTTTAATCAATTTTTGTAACTTGACTAAAATCATAAATGTGGAAAAATAAACCATATTAAGATTGGCAGAAGTTTGTTCCAATTTTTTGAGGACCACAGTATTACTGCTGCAGAAAAAAACTATATAAATATTTATTTAAAAAAGTAACCCAGTAGCTTTGAAAGTGATTGAGGACTTAACTGATAATTAGAAAATCTTGAGATCAAATCACAGGCCTTTGACATTTAAACTCACTTATCTGGTTGACCGAATTAAAAAAATATTTATGGAAGAAATGTGCAATATTTTTTCATGTCAGTGTTTGCTTCTCCAAGAAGCCATCCATCCTAATCCCTAATTAGGTTGGACAGCTTTCATGGAATTTCAACACTGTGGATCCTCTTACCTCCATAAGTCCTCCCTTCCTTCTACAAACTACACACTTTTAAAATCCAAGCTTGGCAACACCAAAGCTCAACTCCTTGATTCCCCCTATTATTTGTTCTACTCATTCCAGTTTGGGTGCTGTCCTGCACAATGGGCTTCTTAGACATAAATACAATGGACAGAGTTTTAGGTGATGCGATCTGAAGAAGCAGAGTGTATCATCTTGGTCTGGGAGGAGAAGGGGGACTGACATTGACCGGCCCACGCTGCTTGAGTTGTATCTCAAATTGGCAACTGATATGATTACCTCAAGTGGTGGCTGAAGGTTGCCGGTTAATGAGGGTACCATGAGTTAGTTAATAGAGAGAGAGGAACTGAATGAAATGGGAGGGCAATGTTTAAAGCTTTATTCTATGATAACTTAATGTCCATGATTTATTTTTGTATTTCATTGAGATGACACATAATTAAGACCGGCATTGAGAAAGTGACATCTCCGGAGCCACTCAGCAATACATTCCTTCATTTAAACTGGCTTCAACCTTTTGATATGTGCATCTGAATGACCAGAATATATATAAACAGAAATGCACTGTAAGAAGCAAAAGTAGTTCTTAATTAGCCCTTCCCTTATCACTTATCGCCCTCCAATAAATGGAATCCCAGCTCTTCTCTGCAATGTCCCTATTTACTCTTACGTGGCTAGTGATAATGAACAATGTTCCCAACATCATTGGGCTGGTTCCAATCTGTATTTCTTTCAAGCATAGAATAAATTTGTTTCAGAACTTGTGGTTTCACCTCAACCACATATTTTCTCTCTCTTCCCCACCCCCCACTACCTCCACTCATGTTCAACTCACAAAATGAGCAACGGTGTGACATCAGACTAATCTTATTTATTATTGACAGCCAGGTAAATAGATGTTTGTCTTATCATTTCAAAACAGACCACATTGAAATGCAGTTTAGTTATCTTACGTTTTTATCAGCCAAGTTGATGTTTAGAGCTTAAATAATGTAAATATGCTGTTTTCAACTATTTTTCAAAGATGCTTTGAATTTAAAAGATCCTGTGCATTTCCGCCACTTTCTAATTATTCTATATACCATTCAAAGTTCCTAGTCTTCATATAAGAGCCTGGACAGCGAGGACCGGAGGCACAATAGTCAAACCCAGACCGGTTCTCATATGTTGATCACACATGCAGACTTTACAGCAAGGACCACTTGATAGTGATCAGGATACAGCACATGGACAGGAAGGTGGCACAGGAGGTACTGAGAAACCCACCCATCCTTGTCACAAGAATGTTGCCATTTGATCAGGAGGAGGTGGTCTCAATGCCGAGATGAGGGCTTTTCCTCACCTAGCTCGTGGAGTCCTGTAGCTCACTGGTTAGAGCACTCACCTAGCAAGCGAGAAACCCGGGTTTGATTCCCCGGCAGGGCAAAATGTTGGGCAAGTTTCCTTACTCCACACGCCTCTGTTTACCTAGGGTTAAGTAGGCACCCGATTGTTAGTCGATTGGCAGATTGCTTTTCTGGGGGTAGTAATTCCTTCAAAAAAATATAACAACAATAAAATTGGTCACTTCAATCCACGACTGTTTGTGAGACACTGATATGCACAATTGGCTGCCGCGTTTCACCCACACAATATACAGTGAAGCGCTTTGAGACGTCTAGAAGACGTGATAAGGCGCTATATCAAATGCAAGGATTATTATTATTATTAAGAGTGGATTTGCCTGATGCACGGAAGATGCCTTTCACCTCCTTCATTAGCAATCAGTAATGTACCCTGGCCTGGAAACGCATTGGGATGGGAAGAGTAAATAAAGCAAAAGTGGGCAGAAAATTAATTTTTGAAGCTGGGATGTGACAGAAACAGTCTGCACTCAGAAGCCTTTATAGCTCATGAAGAGATAATCAGAAAACTTTTACTCACCCCAGTTCCTAATAAAAATGTTTTGGTTAGAGCAGTAAATCTGAGCTATTAGCAAGTTGTGTTTAAATTGTGTTCTGGTTGAGTAGTAATTGTTTAAGTGATTGAACTGCCTGTTCCATATGCAAACCACCCATTCATCATTATCGCACAACAGACTGTGAGTTAATACACTCTAGAAGATACTTGATATCAATTTTGTTTTGCATTAGGAAAGGACAGTTGACTGAATGGCACATTTCAATACCGGAAAATACAGTTACACTGCAAATAAAATCCCCCTACCCCCCAAAAAACAACTTGCACCCTTCACATGGGACAGCATAACGTAGCGCTTAAAAAACATTCATTGTCCAAACAATTTCCCATTAATCAACTGAAAATAATTTTCTACCAATGTGCAATAAAAAACCACAATGTTAATTTGTGAGTGTGCTTGTTGTCTCTCGCACCTCATTCTTTGCACTGATAGCTGCCTTTCAGCACAAAGCTCAATGAAACCATCCTACAACACTGGAGTATTAAATGCTATGGAAAATATAACAATCACCCTGGAACGATAGTGTAGCAATTGAATCCTGATGGCTCAAAAGACATTATAACGTGAGTTATCCATCCCGTAGAATTAGGGTAGAGGGAAATTGCTGTGCCAATGCAACTTTTAAAAGATTGAATTTCAATACAAATTTATGAAGGAATCTGGAGAGCGGTGTAAATACTGCACTTCCAAATATTCAATAGCAATAGATGAGAATTAACTATGGTATGTATACATATTCCAATTTCTCATTATAATTCTCATATTGATTATCGCATTCTTGCTCCTCAGAGTGTGCAAGTGAAAGGAATAACAAAATAACAAAGCTCTCCCCCATCCATCCCTTATAGCCTGTCTGCTATGTAGTGCTGTTTAGAATTCTAAATAGTGCTTTTTCCCTAATGCCTAGTTGCATACAAATACAGTCACTGCATTACAGTAGATCCTGAGAAACATTCTGAGGCATTACAAAGATGGAATAAAGCACTACATCAAATGCAAGGATTATTATTCATTGCTATTATTATATACCAGAAATGCTCATAAAATCGCAAGTGTAATGTGGATGAAGAAGTCCCTTTTGTCCATTTGATTATATCCTCCCAGAACAACCTCTCTGCTATCTTCAATTTATACAAGTTCAGCATCTGGCCTCAACCATCTTTCCTGATAAGCCATTTCAGGTTTCCCCCTTTCTGTTCTCCCTTGTTCAGCATCTGATCTCATCACCGTAAGCGCTCCAAGGCTAGGTGAAGATGCCATATAAATACAAGTTGTTGTTGTTATCTTCAGTCTGAATAAATACTCCTTAGTAGCAGTGCAAAATTGTCCTTCGCAACCTGAACCTGTATCCTCTTATACGCTTTGTGGATATATCTGAATGTATTGTTCCTCTACTCTAATTATTTGTCTTATCTTGTATCTACCATGGGAGGTTTTGTTGGACATTACCCCGGCCTTAATCTAAGTCTTCACTGAACAGAGTTACAGTCACAGAGCAGTACGTGTCATTCCCTTGAACCATTTATTATCTTTTTAGTCACTTAAAAACAGTGAAGGAAAATAACTTGGCAAGCAAAATACAGAGATCAGCTGCAAAATGTACATTTTGTGTAGAGTGCAGTCAAGCAAATGTGTAGTACAGTCCTGGCAGTATCAAACATGAGCAAACATGTACAAAGGACTAGCCATGCAATGCTGTTTATTTTTCTGCATAGAGATGAGCTTTGCTAGTGTTTGCCATGAGCCTCATGCATACGTGCTAAGGAGGACTGGGTCAGAATGGAAAGGACATACCTTATTCAATTATAATCAGAAGCACGCTTTAAGAATAGTTAATACAAAATATATTTCTATATATGGTCCTTCTTTCAAAGGGATTATAATTGCAAATCTGGCTTTTAAGAGGCACTTATCTATCTTACACCGACTTTGTTTAAAGTTAAAAATAATGTGTACACAGCTTCTCCTCCAAACTACCCTCTTTGTGTCTCGGACGTTCCATAATGTTTCATAATGAAAATGCAGTTGGACGTTCCCAGTCAAACAAAGGTGGTTAGATTTTTCTTTGTGCTACTGACTCTCTCTTGAAACAGACTCCCTACATGGCAGCAGAAAAGGGTTGCTGTTGTCACAAAGCAATAAAAAAAATTGTTCTTCTCAGAATAAAATGAAATACCGTCGACTAACTTTAAACCCTTTAGCTATACAGGCCGAACTAATAGAAGCCCATTGTTGAATAACACTAACAGAGGAAATTAAAAGATGTTGTTTAATGGTTAGAGAGGTGAATTACCACGTGCTGGGAATAATAAAACTAAAGGGTGTACAGTATACTCTAAATGGTAATGTTCTGAATGATGTTACGAAACAGAGAGATCTAAGGGAGCAAATGCAAAGATCTTTTAAGGTGGTAGTGCA